ATGTACAGTTGTTCGGATAGGACAAAAAACCAAGCTCTTTTGTACACACGGTCCAGTCAAAATTTTCATCATAGCACACTTTCAAGCATTTGTCCAACTTCTTTAGCCCAGTTTGAGCAGCACAGTATGATGTTGAACCCCATTATTTCATTACAGATCCACAGTAGGTTGGCTGTCAGCCCAGTTGGAGCTGAACAGTAGGCCGTTTAACCCAATATCGGTTTTTTTGGGAGTATAAAGTTGCTTTTTATTTTTTTTAATTTTTTTTTTTACAGATCCTACATGTATATTTGAGCACCCGTGGTGGCAGTAATGACAAAGAAGTTCTAAAAAGATTTATATGGGCTTTATAATGAAAGTTAGACAACACTACTACTTGCCAAACACTACTACTTGTCACATAATGTAATGATATAAATATATATGTATCTATGGTAGCACAAATATCATCAGAATGTAGGCCAAAGCTTTACAAGCATTGTAGGCCTAAAATACTTTCTGTCTGAACTTGTGACAGTCAATTCTTTGATGACTAGTTAGTTTAGAGCAGATATCCTGTCACAGTATTATATAACAGCTCTTTGGCTTAAAATTTAAACTGAGTTGTATCAGTGAGTTGAAAATCATCTGTGTTCCTGTTATTGCTCCCTGCTGCAGCCAGTAAACAATAACCTTTGGCGTTCCTTACAAATCTTCCAATTTTTACTGATAGATCAACCATAGCAAAGATCTCTATTAAGATTATATTTGTAATGTGTATAACAAATTCTATGACATAGGTATAATATTGGTGTAGTTAAGTATATACCATATTTATGCACACATTTCAATATTGGCATATTATTAGTCTCTATCATCTAGAAAAAAATATTCTATATTCTACGAATATTAGTGTGGTTGCGTTGTCAACATTTGAGAATAATCGGTCATAGGCTAGATTATCCGGTCTTTTACATTATCATAAACAAAGTCTAAGGGAGGTAACTAGTCCTAAAACAAGATGTTGACGCCCATGAAATTTATATAAGAATGCCATTTCCGAAAATCCATTTGATTGCATTGTCAGTTCAATATCCAACACTCTTAATTTTTTTTATTGTAAAATTTCTCTCTTCATGGGCCATATCTATGTTGTTTTTTTTATTGAATCCTAATTCGTCATCACTATTCATGTTTGTTTATAAATGCAAGTGTTATTGACAACTGTCCCAGACCCTCATTATTTATATGGCCCAACTTTTCTTCGGGGTACACCGGCACGGTATTAGACTAGGATAAACATTAGTCTTATATACCGCCTCTACTTAATTATGGATGTAGGTCGGAAAAATGTAAAATTTGGCAATTTGACTTATACTCAACATCGACTTATGCTATAACTGTTTCAAATGACAAGTGCTAAATGAAGTATTTATGTGGTCTTTGGTGAAAGAAATGAAATGAAATGGGGTTTAACGTCCTACTTTTCTGCTCCTAACCTGGGCTAATGAAGACGAGCATATGCCATACAGTGTGCTATGAGGGAAATTTTGCCTGGGCAGCGGGGCTACGGCCTACTCTTATATTGAATTCCAACTGCCAAGGGATCTTTTACGTGCACGCCAATGTCTACACGGGACCCCGTTTTTTTGTCCCATAACGACTAGACAGCTGTCCTTGTCAGTCCCTCCGTCCTGCATCACTGACAAGGGAAACCACGCCGGAAAATCAGGATGAACTTTCTCGGCCAATACAGGGATCAAACACCCGATCTCCAGGCTAGCGAGCCAGCGTCTTACCCACTTAGCCACTTGATCCCCCCCTTTGGTGAAAGAGAGAGAGAGAGAGAGAGAAATGGGGTTTACTGTCCACTGGACACAAACTAGGTCATTTCGGGACTAACATGGTTTAATTTTTTATTTACATAATTCGCTTGCGCGTAGGGTTCTTTAGCAGGGGGAGGAAACGGAGGGCGGAGGGCCTGACGAGGACAGCTGTCTAGTCGTTTGGATGGGACAAAAAAAACAAGGTCCAGTGTACACATTGGCATGCACATAAAAGATCCCCTGGCAGTTGGAATTCGATACAAGAGTAGGCCATAGCGCTGCTGCCCGGGCAAAATTTCCCTCATAGCACACTGTATGGCGTAACCTTTTGCGTCTCTTCAAAATATTACAAATCTTTTGTCATGGATCAACCATTGCAAATATCCGTGTTACAATTATATTTGAAATGTGTTAAACCAATTCTGCAACACATGTAATATTGGTGTAGTATATATCTTTGTTTATACACCCACATATCAATTTTGGCCCTGTTTGTCCGTACACTGGGTGTGAAATGTGAATCATTCCGATTGTGAGAGGACAAGCATTATCAATATACAGCTTTTCAGGACTTTGCCTTCCTTGGTTAATTCTCCTTTTTTCAAATACAATAGATGCTGTGTTTATTCTTAATTGATCTTTTTCAAATTTGTGTTACACACTGGAATCATGAGAGGACGAAACCTATCAATATTCAGTATTCCACAACATTCCATTCCAGTGTCGGCCGAGAAAGTTCTTCGTGATTTCCAGACTTGGTTTCCTCCCCTTGTCAGAGGTGCAGGACAGAGGGCCTGACAAGGAGGGACAGCTGTCTAGTCGTTTGGATGGTACGAATGACCGAGGTCCTGTGCACACATTGGTTCGCACGTGAAAGATCCCTTGGCAGTTTGAATTCGATATAAGAGTAGGCTTTAGCGCCGCTGTCTGGATAAAATTCCATAATAGGACACTGTATAGCATATTTCCATGTCATTAGCCCTGTCGGAATAGGACATTAAACCCCATTTCATTTCACTCATTCCAAAGTTAACTCCTATTCCATCAATACCTTGAGCAAATAAGATAGAGGCTATAGGTTTTGACCCAATTTGGTCAATATCCCAGTTTTTTCTTTCTTATATGCATATCAACACTTTCATAGCGCTAATGTAGACCTTTTTCTTGAACATTTTCCCTTGTCAGTGATGCCGGACAGAGGACCTGACATGGATGGCTGACTAGTCATACGGAAGGGACAAAAAAAAACCCAAGGTACAGTGTAAACTCAAGTGTGTGTGTGTGAAAGATCCCTTGGCAGTTGGAATTTTATATAAGAGTACGCCATAGCTCTGCACACTGTGTGGCATATGCCCGTCTTCATTTCTCAAACAGCTGTGGATAAAAACTGTTAATATTTAAATGTGTATTTTGTATTTTATAACATTATATTTTTGTCTTTTAAATAAAGTATATGTATACATACTTGTAGTATATTTTGTCATATAATTCTGCTAGATTTTTAACTTTTCTGTGCAATACATTTAGAATTCTGACTGGTTATGGGTAGATAGAGAGCAATGGGGTAAAACATCCAATAGACATAAACTGTCCTTTGGGACTAAGTGATTCAATTCAAGTTGAATAATTCATCGGCACCAGGAATCTTTAGTAGTAGGAGGACCCAGAGAAAACCCATGTTCAAGTTGGGTGTGGAAAGAAACCACTTGACTCAATGACAGACCTTATGATCTAAAGCGCACACGTTGGACCACTCAACTTTTAGCCTCACCCACGGGTCAGGAAAATTTGATTATTGGTTGAATGCACTTCCCATTTACTGCGGCAAATAATGAATAATTTTGAAGGTTTTAATGCTCATCAAAATTTGACATTAGAATTGCATCCGTAAATGATGTTAATTTAATGTTAGATTTACGTTATAATGGTTGGTTAGATATCCATCATTTTGCTCATCCTTTTAACGACAATTTAACGTCAGGAAATGACGTTAATCTAGCGTAAAGTTTACGTCATTTTTATGTTATATTTACATCATTTTCTGACGTAAATCTAACGTAAAGTTTACGTCATTTTCTGACGTAAATCTAACGAAAATGACGTAAACTTTACGCAAATTTTACGTTAGATTTACGTCAGAAAATGACGTAAAGTTTACGTTAGATTTACGTCAGAAAATGACGTAAATATAACGTAAAAATGACGTAAAGTTTACGTTAGATTAACGTCATTTCCTGACGTAAAATTATCGTTAAAAAGATGAGCAAAATGATGGTAAACTGACTGACCATTTTTACGTAAATGTAACGTAAAATTAACATCATATTGTTATGTGGGAGTATATCAGGCATTGTAGAAATCCCATTAAAATAGTCTATCTTGCTGACAAGATATGTTCTTTAGCACTAAATTAATTAAAGATACATTATGGGAGATAAGATAAAGAGATGGCAGTTCTCGCTATAATAGTTAAAAACTACATAGTGTAACGGTAATTTGCTGAAAATTTCAGTCAAATTGATCCACTATGAGCCGAGAAAGAAGCCGGTGAAATTTTTGCATAGTCTCGGTCATCATTACTAAAATCATTTTATAAACAACATAGTCTCGATTATCCACTTTTTCTGATTTAATTATCAACGGCCGTTAGCGGCATATAGGAATCTAATCCAGCCAACATTGAAGGCTAGTCTTGACATGGAGAGTTTAATATGGTCTGGATAAGTTAATTAATGTCTAATTGATAATTTAGATAACATTTCAGGCCTAAAGAAAGACTTGTAAAAAGCAGATTTTGCTCTTGCATAATGCATGTTTAATGAAATGAACTAGGGATTTAATGTCCTACTTTTCTGCACCAACCAAGCAAATGAAGACGGACTTATGCCATGCAGTGTGCTATGATAAGAAATTATTTTGAATTCCAACTGTCAGGGGCTCTTTAACGTGCATGCCAATGTGTGCACGAGATCTGTTTTTTTTTTATTCCATCTGACCGACAAGATGCTGTTCCTTGCCAGGCCCTCCCTCCATAGCTGACAAAGGGAACCCACGCCGGAATAATCCAGAGGAACTAAACTAGTTTATACAAGCTTTACAAACTGCCTGTGAGTTGTCCATGCAGTAGTCTGTACTTCATTAGATTACCTCATTTTCATAAAAGTAAGTTATTTTGTTTTTGTTTCATAGGATCACAATTATTCAGCATCTTCAATGAAGTGGAAACGTAAACTGTATGACACAGAAGAAAAGTTAGATGACATGACAAAAATTTTTTAAAATGCTGTTAAAAGGAAGCAGAGAGCCAAAACATTTTGCAAGAAACAAACAGATAAGTTGTATGCAGAAAACCATTGAACTGAAAACAAAATTAGACTCCTTTGGGGGTAAGAGATATATTTCTTCCTTTTATTGTGATAATGAATAATTAACATTTCCTTCAACATAACTTTTTCTATCAAGTTTCATTGTTTTCTATATGTAAGCTTACACATGTATATATATAATTCTCCCTGAGCTTTATGCAGGTATCCTACATGTAGCTATAATGTCTTTTAATTTATTTGTAGACATGCCATGGGAGTTGTTTAAGAAAGATACCAAAGAATACAACACTTCTCAGAGAGATTTTGCGATATCCCTTCACCTTATGTCACCAAAAGCCTATGATTATCTAAGAACTGCTGGGTTTCCTCTGCCCCATCCAAGGACATTAAGAAAGTATGTCAAATTTCAGTTTTATCATTATAATGAAAAATATTCATATAATAAATCATTAGGTAAAATCACTGACCAAGAAGTTCTTCATAATGCCCAGTGCTAATTAGTGCTATTAAGTATTATCATTCATCGATGCGATTATCAGCCTACTTCATGCTATACATCGATGCGACGAGCGGACAGATTTTCTTTACCATAACAAAGAATTCATATCAGAGAGGAAGTTTCGTTCCAATAGCTAGTTTCGGTGACAGGCAAATTTACTGATGCAAGAATCGATGTTTGCTCTCGATGCATTGATGTGTAAAGTTTTACTTGATATCAGCACTAGCGCTAATCCCAGTATACAAACAAGAACAAGATATGTAAGGAACTGTAATAAAATAAATCATTATTTCAGGTGGATGGGAAGTATCGACTGCAGTCCAGGATTAAATGACGCAATGATCACAGTTCTTGCCGAAAAGCGCAAAATGTCACCAGAGAAATATACCAGGTAGCTATCTTTCATAAAATCTATAACAAGTCAAGGTTAGTTAACATTGCAGTTACTTTTTTTTATTATAAAGTATAAATATTTTATTGACTAAAATTATTTCATTTGATGAAATCTAGTAAAAAAAAGGGACTTGAAAAGGTACGTACATCAATTAAAAGCATTTTTCATTTCAGTTGCTGTCTCATGTTAGATGCTATGTCCATCAGAAAACAAGTGGATTATAACCAACACAATGGCCATTTCACGGGTTATGTTGATTTAGGTTATGGAGAAGATGAAGAGGTTGAAGCCAAAGAAGTATTGGTATTTATGGTTGTGGGCCTTGGTGGGCATTGGAAAGCTCCTGTTGGATACTTTTTTACAGGCGGTTTATCTGCAGAAACACAAAAACAACTGGTCACTCATTGTCTTGAAAAACTGTTTGAGCTAGGGGTGGGCATGCCACTAATATGGCTATGTGTAGATTGCTTGGGGCTAGGCTTGATTTTTCAACGTCTACTGATGAGATTAAGACTTCCATAACATCATTAGGTCAAAGCCACACTACTTATATCTTTCCTGATGCTTGTCATATGATCAAATTATTTCGAAACACTCTTCAAGCCTATGGTGGATTTACTAGTGATGATGGAAAGGTCCTTTGGAAATTTATAAAAGAGCTTAATGATGTTCAAAATGAATCTGGTCTGAAGCTAGCTAACAAACTATCAATGAAACATATACAATTTGCTCAACAGAAGATGAAGGTCAGTCTGGCTGTTCAAGTTATCTCCTCATCAGTAGCGAAGGCATTTAGAACAATGAAAGACATTGGTGATAAACGATTTGCAGAATGTGAAGCCACTGCAAAATTCCTTGAGGTAAGAAATCATTATTTCAACACAGCTTTAAATCAAGATCAGCTTGTAGTGAAATTGTTAACATTTCATCATGTATTATGGTAATATCTCTTACGCATAGTAAAATTAAAATTAATCTTCATGTACTTTTATATAGCGTGTGGACCATCTCTTCGATATAATAAATAGCAGATCTCCTATAGCAAAGGGCTACAAAAGTCCAATAAACAAACATAATTTGCAAGGCAAAACTAAGTCTTTAGAAGAGACCCGGGTATATTTACTCAGTTTGAGGTTACTTAACGATGGCCCATTACTTGTATCAACTAAGAGGTATTCATCAGGACAGTTACTGTTGAATTAGTTACATTCTGTGTTAAAGATGCACTGTGTAAGATTTAGATAAATAGCTGGCCGTTCTTGCTGTGATAGTTTAAAAATAGTTAATGAAAAGTGAATATATTGAAAATTTCAGTCAAATTACTTTATTCAGAGCAAAGTTATTAATGTTTGAAGTTTTGGCAAGAAATATCCTAAATAGTCTCAATTCTCAGTACCAATGCCACGATAATAAACAAAGTCTGGATTTTTAGTCCTTCATTCAGCAGTCTCCGGATCGGCATCCATATTAGCATTTAACGAAGATATAGCGAACATTGTGTAATTTAGCTTGGTCTAGAGAGTTGATTATGGATCTGTCATGTGAATAAATGTCTAAACAATAATTTATAGAACATTTTAAGCCAGAAAAAAGACCTGTAATAGTCAGATTTAGCTCTTACATAACACATCTTTAATTTTTTCCCTTATTATATTGTTTTTGTTTTGTGTTAGAAAGATTGTTAGGGTTTCACACAGTTCCGGTGTGAAACACTATTATTTTTGTTGGGATTATTATTATTCTATTTCCACTTTGCTTATATCTATCTGTTCAATTTTGTCGGGAAAGTGTGCATGACTGACAGATTAAATTATTATTCGTTTTTCATTTGATGCCTAATGCCTCTTAATAACTTATAGGCGGAGGACTGGGAAGTTCTAACTAGCTTAGTTTTCAAAAGTCGTTGCAACTCACCGCTGTGGAAAGTTTTAATATTTATTTCTCGAGAAATAACCCTAATGTATTGTAAACAAAACTGCCACACTCCAATTTATGTGCCAGAAACGTTTTAAACAAATAATCTAAACGACAGCATTTTTTGTCCTCGCAATAATAAAAGTAGTGAGACGGCGAGCTTTCAGCCAATGAAAATCTAGTAAATAGCGAATAACAGTAAATACACGTGACCTTAAGGAGAATTTAATAGATCAATGTCGTTGTTTTGCTATAATATATTTAGGTCGATTTTTTTTTAGCCAAACTCGTTGTAAATCATATTTCTAATGAAAAGAAAGTGCGCACTATTAATACTGGTATTTACCGGTGTCGGCTAAAATGTAATAAGTGCATAAATGTGAAAGATTTAGGTCAGCGATGACTCATTGGGTAGAGTGTCCAACTGACAGCTGCTTACCACTTGGCGATTATGTCACATGTGCCGTGTTTTCGGACCCTCCACCCCATCAGACGGAAAGTTTTCCCCGATGCCAGACAAGCTTTACCCCTCTTACCCCCGTGAAGCCGCTGTCGGTAATACCTGACGGGCTTGTCCTCTCTCAACAAATTTTAAGCTGTTTGTAGCTTGTGTAAATGTGATGAATCAATTTATTATTCTTAAGAAAGTAGGCCTACACGACACTGTGGAATTAATTTTTGCATGCATCGTGTTTAACGTCCCACCACAGCTCTGAGTATTAAGATAATTTGAGAAGGGTTGGAAATGTTGTTTGATAGCAATGATATAGGCCTATATATAATCGAATATAAATATAGATAATTGCCAAATATCAAAATCAATCAAGGTGTGTGAAGCTATATTTTATTAGAGGCTCTCTTCCTACTGTAGTCTTTGCGTGTGTAGACATACATACTTTGCATTGTCGAGTTCACCCTAATATTAACTGGTTAGAATAGATCCCCTAAGTCCACCCTTCCTCATCTCTAATAAAGTTGACACTGTAGCATCCAAATAATATAACTATGCATAAATCAAAGGCAAGGCCCAGCACCCCCCCCCCCCCTCATACACTGCTTAATCCCCAAACCCTCCATATAAGGTTGGAAATACCTTTTAATATCAATATACCCACAAAAGCACCCCTAATAAGGTTTGACAATGTAATAACAATTAACTGATGTTTTGTGGACAGTTATTTGTGTTTGCTAAATTATGACTTTTTGAAATTAATGCATAGGTATAATACAGGTTGTGTTCTAACAACTGGCTAAAATGTCCCTTGTTTGTCCATTCCCCTATTTTAAAAAAAAAAATATAGACTACTTGGTCTTGCTCAAAGGAGCGGTCTATGGGAGTTTTAAAAATAAATTTTTTTTTTTAACATTATTTATTAAAGATAATTGGATTATAGAGCAGGCAACCCCACTCTCCAAAAAAAAAAAATAGAAACAGATATAAATATTACAATCAAAACATAATGAAATTACAATAATAAATCAAATACATAAATAAACACATATATATATATTACATACACTCACACACACATGTACACACTACACATACACTAATTCATTGATAATTAACATCAAACAACTGAGAAAAAATGTACCATAATAGACTAAAATAAATATGTATGCTGCACATGTCTGATATATAAAGAAATAGTTAAGATTTTTAATACATGTAGTTGAAAATTTAAACATTAAAGTAGCTAAGTCTCTAACTCAATATCATCCAAAATCTTCAACATTGAAAACACGATTTATTTGTCAAATTAAATCAACATTCATGTTGTGATCTTACCGGAAAAAGATGGGCTTTTGATATCCAATATTTAAGACAAAATAAACATTTTACCATTTGTACACGAATCGTGTACCATAATGCGCTTCAGCCCCAGTTGTATCAAGAGGGACGAGGCTAGACACATTGCACCAAATCAAACGGCATATATAGACTGGAATAACCAGACGCTAGAAATTCGCCGAACATAAATGATTTGAAATTGGAGTAAAAACGGAAACCATTGAATGTAAATCAGTTTATATACATTCATACTACAGTATTATATGCATTGTGACCCACTTTTGTCAATTTCTAGGTCTCAAGTGTTAGCGATTTAGCTCCTTTAAATATTACTGTAATGACTTTAATTGACAAAAGTTCTGATTTTAATGAAAATGAATATGGAAAAAACAGTATGTACAAGCTCTGTTGATAAGATATGAATTTATAGGCTTGAATCAGCATACAATAGGTATTTAAAAACATATATACAAAGTCATTTTAAAATTTAATAAAACATGTTGATTTTGATTTTATAATTATACTAAATCATTCATGGACTAAAGTGTACAAAATATGCATAATGAATTTGTTATGGTTAATATATGTTATAGCGAGTTCAATGATAGGTTCAATATTAACAAAGATTACTTGAATTGTAAAACTGTTCAAAATTTAAACTCGACTAATGATACAGATTTAAAACATTAGTTTTACTACAAGATAAAACAAAATTATAATCCGATGGAATAACTTGAATTTAAAAATATCAGAAATTAAGAGAAAAAAAATCACTAAACTTCAGCCGATCATAAGGGACAGACACAAAAAAAACCTGATGTAAGAGTTATAAACTATGTGAGAATGTAGCATTCAACTGAGGATAAAATCCATGCTCCCATATATTGCTTTAATTTTAGTAATGCCAGGTTAAAGGTGTACAAAGAATTTGGGATAGAAAATCATTTTAAAGAAAAGCAAAAAATAATAATACTTTTAAAACAAATATTTGTTGATGTAATAATGAAAATATATATATTTATTTTTTTTTATTGAGAATGTATTGATTATTATCTTTGTAACAATATATAGTTTTTACATTCAACATTCTTCTTCTTCATCATCATCATGATGATCATCATCATTATCATCCATAGCCATCTCTGTGGTTGTAGGTCTGGAATTTTGACAGTCTTTACATTCACATAGATCTGTACAGGAAAGAGCAGCAACTTTACATGAACATCTTTTTGATTCACCTTTGAAGCTTCTTCCTTTGTTCCTAAAGAAAATAGGAAATATGACAGAAAAAACATAATTGTATGTCACATGTGTGAATTTTTTTTTTGAGCAATGCAATCTCTAAATGAAATCAAAATCTAAAATTGCTTATTTAAATAGCATTTCCGCCTGTAGGATCAATAATCTTTGCAGATCTTTTTACGGCTTAGACTAATTGCCTTTGATTTTTCTGTAAAGGCTAATCCAAACTATGCTCCCACAAGACGGCAGGTTTTGTTTTAGACCAATCACCAACGGAATATAAATTTGACAAAGTTCCATGGAACCTGACTAAAATGATTCTAATAAGAATGTAATTTTAAATATTATGTGCTGTACTCCATATTTCTAATATTACTTTATTGAAAATGATATTTCATAACCCTTGACATTGTAATTAATGACTAATGTAATTTGTTAGTTATGTTTCATAAAAATGTTTTGCCCTTCACCAGTTTAGGCTTCAGTTTTGTTTTAAAACTTGAAAGTTTGCCCACCACCGGTTTGCGTGATACCATGTATTGTGAACAAGTACTTTATATATTTCTTAACAACAACCAACGTGAACACTCACAGCCTAGAAAAAATTTAAATACTAAGACTAAGAAAATAATAATAATAAAATAACTAATAATAACATACAAACATACCTTCGAACACATCTCGGTACGTGATTGCAATGTTTTTTTCTTCTCCATCCAAAGTCTGCCACTGTTTTGAATATTCCACGCAATGCCTCCAGGTCTTGCCGTTAAAAACCAGTAACTTGCAGGGCTGTGTTGCATTCTGATGAATATCAATAAGGCACTTCATTTTTCTGGTCAGAATGCCAGAAAAATGTGTCCTTGTTGACTATGGCACTCGGCAACAAACTTCGCGTGTATTCCTACGCGTGTAATGGTTATTTTTTAGGTGATTAGGTTAAAAAGAATTCCATTTTTTAAAAAGAATTATTAAATACTGGCACATGCCGAATGTGTGGAGATCATGGTTTTTAAGTTAGTACAAAGAGACGTGTAATTTAAAAAATTAAAATCTCCCACAGAGGTTGCTGCAACGAACTTGAACGATAAATGTCTTCGGTATTTCGCCTATCAATTCACTGTTAGTGTTACTGGAAATGAGGTCATTTTGGTAAAAACTATATTTTTATCCGCTATTATTCAGTAATTGTTTAATATTATGATATTTAACCGAGCATAGCTGCATTGCATGTCTAGTTTGCTGCATGTTTTATATTAAATTGTCAAAGGTTTTTCTCTGTACTTTTTTTTTAGTTTGCCATATTTTCAGTTTATGTCTCAAGTATTTTGAACATTGTAATGTTATGTGTTTAAAAGTAGAGTATTGGTACATTGTATGACTAATCTTTTTCAGAAAAATAGTTCATTTGATTAGTAATATAGAGCTAACAAGACTGATAGTTAATTTTCAAACTATAATGTATTTATAGGAATGTGTGTGAAGGGGCTTATAATCCTCATTTAGGCTATTCTGTTGCTAACCAATCTCTTTTAGAAAAATAAGTAATTTGATAAGTAATATTGAGCTTACAAAAATGATTAATGTTAATTTTTAAACTAATCTTTAATTTTAGAGGAATGTGTGTGAAGGGATTTATAATCCTCATTGATTCTGTTCTTGGAGTTGCTAACCAAATTCTGGATGAACAAAAGTACTTGTTAACATACAAATGTTCTCAAGATCACTTGGAGCTGTTCGTTAATGCTGTACGCCGTACTGGTAAGATATTATTATCATTTCTATGAACATTACATAACTAATCAGGCTTTCAGTCTTTCGTTATTACAAAGATTTAATTATTTTTCACTAATTTTGTTGTTTTATTATTACAGCAGGATGGAATAACAATCCTACAGCTCAAGTGTTTACTGCATCATTTAGAAAGATTATTTCCCATTGTAGAGCCCTAACAGTAAGTTAATATTACAGAATAAAACACGAGAGAGGGGGAGAGTTTACAGTCCAATCAACACAAAATAGGTCATCTCAGAACTAACATGGGGGTCTTTAGCAGTAGAAGAAAACTGAAGGACCCGGAGAAAAACCCACATGGTTGGGATTGAAACCACGCCACTTGACTCAATAACAAACCTTATCTAAAGGGCATGTGTTAGACCATTCGACTCCCACCATAACACAATAGAGATCAGATTTCTTGAGGCAAAAGGAATCGTTATCAAATTTGGTCAACATCCAAGTTTTCCATTCAGATAAGCTGCTGTCAATGGCTATGTTTTGTTTTCGAGACAGCTTCTTCCTTAAATTAATAATATTTTCATCTTTCATTCAGGTGTCTAAGCATGGGAACTGTTCAGTTCTTGAAGATACAAGACTGCTTAGATGTGCTTTAGATGGTTATGTGCCACCTGTCACTGAACACAATGAGGGCAATGGTGAATCAAGTCTATCTGCGTTAGATCTTACCTCTACTCGTTGCCGCTGGCAACCTTTGATAAAACTGTCCTGTTTATTTGCAATACATGCATATAAGTATCCGTGTATCAGAAATGTACAGAAAGAGTACTATTCATTTCTGATACACGGATACTTTTATACCGTTTTAGATACCTATCAAGCAGTAAGTATCAAGCAGTATCTGTATCAAGCAGTAAGTAGCAGACGTTTAGTCCGACCCAGATCGCAATTCGCAATTGATAAGAATTGCTCTATACAATGTACATGAAACAACTAGTCAAAATCATAGTAACAAAACAAAATGGGGGGAACTACATGGCAGTTCAAAAACATATACAATGACATTAAATTAACATAACAACATATTACAAAAATCAATTATTATACATATCAATTGGCATCTATTTCATAATTTGGTTTGATTTATATTAATATGCAAAATATATGAATTAGAATATTGAATAATTATTTTAATTAATTGTGATGATAGAAGGCGCAGTTCTCTTGCTGGACACTTCACAGGCATTGAAAATAAGCAGGATGAAAAAAACGCCTAGAAAGTCATAAACTTTATTACAAATAAATTTCAACGGAAGAACCATCGGCCGATGCATACTTTCACCAGAAATGACCCACGTTTCGCATTTCCTTTACACTACATTTAATAATATCGCAGGCTCGCTAGCCTGGAGGTCGGGTGTTCGATCCCTGCATTGGCCGAGAAAGTTCATCTGGATTTTCCGACCTGGTTCCCCCTTGTCAGTGGTGCAGAACGGAGGGCCTGACAAGGACAGCTGTCTAGTCCTTCGGATGAGACGAAAAACCAAGGTCCCGTGTATACATTGGAATGCACGTAAAAGATCCCTTGGCAGTTGGAATTCGATATAAGAGTAGGCGATAGTGCCGCTGCCCGGGCAAAATTTCCCTCATAGCACACTGTATAGCTTATGCCCGTCTTCATTAGCCCAGTATAGGAGCAGAACAGTAGGACGTTACACCCCATTTCATTTCATTTCAATAATATCGCAGTCCTCTACGCCATAGACAAGTTGTTTTGACGATGTGGTCTAAACAAACACGTGATTGTTTTACACTCAGAGTATCATAGCAAGACGCACGTGTAAATACTATTCAGGTCGTCTCTCCACTGCGAAATCATTCTACCATGAAATGTAACGTGAGGCTCAGAAAGGGATAAATAATGAAAGAGCAGAAAGTATTTGTTGAAACGACTCGATAATAAATACTATTTTTCACATTTTGCTTCACAATACTCGATAGAAATGTGATGTAAGTAACTTATTAGCACCTTTCCTCGGTTTATCGGTGAATACCAGGACAGTTTTGGTCGGGAGCCGCCTCGGCTGGGCCCCTCGACCAAAACTGTCCTGATATTCACCGATACACCTCGGAAAGTGTGCTAATAACTACTACATACATATGATACAAGAAGGATGGAGCCCTTTGTAGAAAATGTTGCAGTTTATATAGCAGGTGAACAGTTTTAACTGATTTGGTTAACCTTGAGGATAGATTTTGTACAATTAATATTTATTCATTACATAGGTAAATCACAATGACAAAAGGGTTTTAATGGTCACTATTATAATATTATGGAACTAAAAATCAAGACCCCTTCCTGTATGTGTTCAACACCAAAATAATGTTGTTACCGGCTTTATTTCAGGTTGGGTAATACGGAAATTGCTTCACCAGGTTAAATGTATAGACTGCAAAGCAATGTTGGCAACAGAAAAACCTTCCCAGGCTTTCATCTCATCATATTGTTTAATTTTCAATAAACAAAACGGTGGACTTATCCTTCCTTCAGATGGAACCATTCAAGTGTTACTATGTGCAGAAAAGTATATTAGAAGATTTTCACACAATTGTGACTTGTCAAATTACAAGAATCATATGACTTTATTAAGAATTCAAACAGATGTTTTAGCCGAAATTGGAGTTCGTAATGTTTTGGAGAGGCACAGCATGAAAAGGAAACTCAAGAGGGAATTAACAATCATTACCTTTCTCTCATCAGATCTTTAGTTACTGTCTTTTTTAATTTACGTATTCATCATCTAGTGAAATCCCATAACATAAAAAGTCAAGGGAAACAGTATTAGACATAAAATGACTAAAACAATTCTTTTTAAAGGGCAGTGAATGACTTAGGACCTACTAGGTATGGAGTTATGGCAGGTCTTTCTTTAGGCCTGAAATGTTATCTAAATTATTAATTAGACATTAATTAACTTATCCAGGCCATAATAAACCCTCGATGTCATCGCTAGTCTGTGATATTTACTGGATTAAAACACGGTCTGCTGCTGCTGTCCATGCCTCAATTTTGTCAATTATTTTTTTTTATTTCGAATCAACATGATTTTAATATTAATGCCAAACGGTTGGATGTCCAAGCCTCGATTTTGTCAATATTTTTTTTTCATTTCGAATCAATCGTTTTAATGGTAATGGTTGGATGCCCATGCCTTAAATTTGTCAATTATTTTGTTTTCATTTTGAATGAATACAGTTTTAATGGTAATGGTTGGATGCCCATGCCTTGATTTTGTCAATAGTTTTTTTATTTTGAATAACTAAAATTTCAGTGGTAATTGTTGGATGCCCATTGCCCACGTCTTGATTTTGTCAATTTTTTTTTAAATTTTAAATAATTAAAATTTTAATGGTAATGGCTGGATGCCCATGCCTTAATTTTGTCAATTTTTTTTATTCGTCCACATTCATAACATGGATCTATTATGCCGTCCACCCCTAAAGCAGTGGACACATTAGCCAAATCGTTAGGCCGAATCAATCGGCGCCAAATTTTATTCGGCCGAATGGGTGGACACACTAGCCTAATGCTTCGCCCGATTCAACCTGCCGATTGCATCACCTATCACGTCACATGATTAAACATGGCGGCGTCTATGTCTTCAATCTATCACGTGACTTCTCGATATGAGTGGTGATTGGCTAATGAATTCTATATTCGGCCGAATGCTTTGGCGAAGCGGACACACCAGGCGAATATAATTCGCCCAAATATATCAAACCTGTTTGATTCGGGCGAATCATTCGGCCGAATGAGAGTGGACACACTACTCGAATTTCGACGCCGATTGATTCGGCTAGTGTGTCCACAGCTTTAGCGTGTGTGGGGGAGTTGGATAGTCGAATGGTTTAAAGCGTGCGCTTTAGACCATAAGACCTGCCATTGTGTCAAGTGGGTTGGTTTCGAGCATAAACGTGTATGTGACAGGGAGGACACACTAGCCGAATGCTTCGCCCGATTCAACCTGCCGATTGCATCACCTATCACGTCACATGATTAAACATGGCGGCGTCTATGTCTTCAATCTATCACGTGACTTCTCGATATGAGTGGTGATTGGCTAATGAATTCTATATTCGGCCGAATGCTTTGGCGAAGCGGACACACCAGGCGAATATAATTCGCCCAAATATATCAAACCTGTTTGATTCGGGCGAATCATTCGGCCGAATGACAGTGGACACACTACTCGAATTTCGACGCCGATTGATTCGGCTAGTGTGTCCACAGCTTTAGCGTGTGTGGGGGAGTTGGATAGTCGAATGGTTTAAAGCGTGCGCTTTAGACCATAAGATCTGTCATTGTGTCAAGTGGGTTGGTTTCGAGCATAAACGTGTATGTGACAGGGAGTGGGGTCGGGTCACCTGTCCAACCTTGTTGGTTTTCTCCGGTTTCCCCCCACTGCTAAAGACCCCTGCATGCGAAAGCCAATTATTGAAATAATATTGGGCAATATGTTAATCCCACTCAATTTTTATGTGTATCATCGCCTCCAGGCCGCTATTCTGAATGGAACATCTTGGAACTTGGCAAACTTATGCCTTGTCATTCATTTCGAAGACAGGAGGGTACGTATTGATTTTTGTGCATGTCTGTAAACACTCTACAGGCTACGATTTTTAACAGAATTTGTTCATATAGGCATGATTATTCATTTCAAATAGAGGATGGAACCTGCAATTTTTGCGCAGGCCTGAACCACCAGGGTTGCCATAACACATTCATTGCGGCTGTTTCATATTTCATTTTAAAAAAACTACCATTTCAATCAAAGCAGGAATGTTGAAGTATAATGCAGCTTTAGAGATGGTCTTGTTTTTATCTTGAAAAAATACAATTTTAATGTTAATGGTTGGATGCCCATGCCTTATTTTTGTCAATTATTTTTATTTTATTTTGAATAACTAAGATTTTAATGGTAATGCTTGCCTTACTTATTGTCAATATTTTTTTTTTTTATTTTGAATAACTACGATTTGAATGGTTGGATGCCTGTGGCTGAATTTTGTCATTTTTTAAAATTTGAATAATGGTAATGGTTTGATGCCCATGCCTTGATTTTGTCCATTATTTTTTTATTTTGAATAAATACAATTTTAATGGTTGATGCCCATGCCTTTGTCAATATTTTTTTTTATTTTGAATTACGTAAAATATTACAGGTAATGGTCTGATGCCCATGCCTTAATTTTGTCAATTGTCATTTTTTTTTTTTAATTTGAATAATGGTAATGGTTTGATGCCCAGGGGATCACGGTGGCTTAGTGGGTAAGGCGCTGGCTCGCTAGCCTGGAGGTCGGGTGTTCGATCCCTGCATTGGCCGAGAAAGTTCATCCCGATTTTCCAGTGTGGTTCCCCCTTGTCAGGGATGCAGGACGGAGGGCCTGACAAAGACAGCTGTCTAGTCATTCGGATGAGACGAAAAACCGAGGTCCCGTGTACACATTGGCGTGCACGTAAAAGATCCCTTGACAGTTGGAATTCGATATAAGAGTAGGCCGTAGTCCGGGCAAAATTCCCCTCATAGCACACTGTATGGCGTATGCCCGTCTTCATTAGCTCAGTTCGGAGCAAAACAGTAGGACGTTAAACCCCATTTCATTTCATTTCATTTCATTTCGGTTTGATGCCCATGCCTTGATTTTGTCCATTATTTTTTTATTTTGAATAAATACAATTTTAATGGTTTGATGGCCATGCCTTTGTCAATATTT